ACGCTAACACTGACGTATAAAGCTGTTCATAATACTGCCCCAAACTACATCACCAATCTTGTCTCCAAATACCACCCAAAACATACTCTCCGCTCCTCACAAGACCTCCTACTCTCTAGCTCCCAGGTCTCCTCCTCCCATGCTTGTCTCCAGGACCTCTACAGGGCTTCCCCCATCCTCTGCAACTCCCTACCCCAATCCATCAGACTATCACCTACTCTGCTCACCTTTAGGCGCACTCTGAAAACCCACCTCTTTAGGGAAGCCTACCCCGCCCTCAGCTAATTACTGAACTCCTCCACTCCATCCCCCACAGCTATTTCCCCCTGTACCATTATCCTCTCCCTCCTAGATTGTAAGCTCCAAGGAGCAGGGCCCTCGAACACCTCGTGTATTGAATTGTATTGTTACTGTACTGTCTCGTGTACTGTCTTCCACCTAATGTAAAGCGCTGAGCAAACTGTCGGCGCTATATAAATCCTGTATAATAATAATAATATTTCTTAGTTTCTGCTTTAAAATTTTGAAAATAAATAATCTTTCTTCATAAATTTAGGAAAAAATTTATTTAACTACATTTCTTTGGTAAAAATAAACAAAACTGATGTATAATATTTAATCTGTGTGAAAGTTATAGAGTCTACAAACTACTATGGTACATATTTGAAAATTGATCAATCCTGATGTACTGATGGCTTGAGGCCCTTAAAATGCCAGGACAGTACAAACACCCCCCAAATGACCTGTTTTTAGAAGGTAGACAGTTCAAGGTATTGAGTAAGAGGCATGGCAAGATTTTTGAAGTTGCAATTTTTTGTCACAATGTTTTTGAAAATAAAGAAGTGAAATAAATTTTCACAATTTTATTTTTACATATTGCCTGTCACCAGTGCAGTACAACCATCATACAACTGGTGTGGCAGTGATCAGGAATACTGACTGTTGACAGCATGTAAAAAAAACATTAAATATTCTTTTTTTTTTTTTATTACTGTCATCAGAGCAGTTTAGTGTCACTATAGGGGGGTGATCAGGAATTTTTTTTTTATACACTGATATTGCTTATAACAGCGATGGTCACTGTTATAAGCAATAGTTATCTGTCATGAATTGTTGTTATTATTATTATACAGGATTTATATAGCACCAAGAGTTTGCTCAGCACTTTACAATATAGCGGGAGACAATACAGAAACAATACAGTTCAATACAAGAGGGATAGGAGGGCCTGATCCTGGGAGCTTACAGTCTGGCTTTCCATTCAACCATTCCATTGGTTCCATTCCATTCAGCTTCAGAACAGTAAGCAAGCAGTCATGAATGGAAACCATTCATGACTGTTTTGTGTACATTGTAATCATGTGATCGCTATGGTTGGTCAGAGCAATTACATGATACCCTGGCCACCTTGATCCGCTGTGTACGCTAGAACAGCGGTCGCAGGATCACGCTACTATGCACCCCAGGGGGCACGCCAGTGTGCATGTGCCAGGCGATGTAGCAGTAAGTCACTGTGCCTGGCTGTGGATGGGCGACAAGTAGCTAGGTATCATCGAAGGCAGTACAGTTTTGTTTCCTGTACAGGGGCGGACTGACCATTTGGAAACTCGGGCACTGCCCGAGGGCCCGGGGTCAGTAGGGGGCCCCATGAGATGCCCCTGGTACCTTTTTCATAGGCTTTTTTGAGTTTGGGCAAGGACACAGGGGCCCCATGATCCCCTATTGCCCGGGGGCCCCATGAGTTGTCAGTCCACCCCTGTTCCTGTATGTTGTTGGTGTCCAGTAATGATGTAACCTTGATGTTTATTTTAATTCTAGCCTGTGTAAGTAGGCTTCTGTGTGTAACTAGGCTTTTTGAGGCTGTTGCAGATATGTGCTGGTGTTTTTTTTTCTATCTTTGGTTTACGTCACTATATCTAAATAACGTATTTTCTGCAGTTCTTAAACAGAGATAACAAAACACTTTCATTGATATATGTAGCAGACCAAAAGGGAGAAAACATGATAAATTCATTGTTGGGGTTTGCATACACTTGAAACCTTTTCTGAACTCTTCACTTACACATCTAGTCCACCAAGTAGTTTATCAGCTGTAATGTTTGCGTATATTTTGTTATTATGCGGTCAGGTGCCTATGCTGGGGATTTCCTTTGTGGTAAATGACTACACAGAACAGAAACTTGACTGTAGGATAATTCTGTCTGTAGCAAATATAAGCATATTTGACATTTTACAACTGGAATGCCTGATATTGGGAGGGGCACTGACAACCGACCTGAAATATTAACCTCAATGATCTGTGTGAGTGCTCTGCAGGGAGTTTGGAGTATTTACTTTCTAATTACAGTAGCTGATAAACAAGTTCATAATCTGTCTGTTTAGGTAAAATATGAATTAAGTACTTACACGGATTTAACATAGAAAACTTTATTTACAGTCTTACACCAAAGAGGATACTTTTGTTTCATGGGTGTTTAAATGGAGAGATAATGTTTGCCTGTGATTCTGTCTGTAATTAGTGCTTTGGGAGGCAGTACAATATTATTATTATACAGGATTTATATAGTGCCAACAGTTTTCTTAGCTCTTTACAATATAATGGGAGACAATACAGCAACAATACAGTTCAATACAAGACGGATAGGATGGCCTGATCCTGGGAGCTTACAATCTAAGATTATTTTTCAATGCATGGAAATACTTTTGGTGACTACCTCCTCCATCACCCGAATGCTCCAGTTTTAGTAAATGAACCCTGTTGTGTTTTTAGTGCTTTTCCATTTACTATACTTCCCTGTATTATTATTATTATTATACAGAATTTATTAGATTGTAAGCTCCAAGGAGCAGGGCCCTCCTAACCCTCTTGTATTGAACTGTATTGTTGCTGTATTGTCTCCTGTTATATTGTAAAGCGCTGAGCAAACTGTTGGCACTATATAAATCCTGTATAATAATAATAATTTATATAGTGACAGCAGTTTGTGGAGCACTTTACAATACAAAGGGGGACAGTACAATTACAATACAGTTCAGTACAGAAGGAAGAGATGAGCCTTGCTCATGGAGCTTTCAATCTAAAGGGAGGGGGAGCTGGTACAAAATGTAATAGTTACAGGGGATAATCTGATGGAAGTGACTCAAGTATAGTTTTTAGGTAGAGGTGGAGGTGATTGTAGCCGTATTAGTGCATTTGCGACAGGAACAATTGAGTACTGTCCGTGATACTTTTTTTATTTGCACTAACATACAATTTTGAGGACAAGCTTTCGGGGAATGTCTCCTTCTTCAGGTCTAAGCAGTACTGAGTAGTGGGACATTCCCTGAAAGCTTGTCCTTAAAATTGTGTGTTTGTGCAAATACAAAAAGTATCACGGACAGTACTCAATTGTTCCTAGGTAGAGTAATTTGTTTCTGAAAAATTGAGTAAACTAGTAAATTACTTTTCAAGGATCGCCTAAAGGTTGACCGGGCATACTGGGGTAGGGAGCTCCAGAAGATGGTAGAGGTTCTGGAGAATCCTTAAAAGCAAACGTGGGAGGAGGTAAGAAGGAAGCTAGAGAGCAAGATGTCCTTGGAGGAGTGGAGGGGACGATTTGGGTGATATCTTGAGATGAGGCTGGTGATGTAGCTGGAGGCAGTGTTGTGGATGGCCTTGAAAGATGCAGCAAGCCAGATCCTTCAAATCGGTACCAAACTGTATTGTAATGTACTGATTTACTCTGTGCTTCTAGGGTGCGGCGAACATGCATTTTAATCCAGTTAGGGTACTGGTGTGAACGGGCCCTAATAGTGTTTTAGAAAACAGCAGCATTAAACATATAAAATATACAGTCCCACCAGGAGTAACAATGTAAGCTGAGAATTATGGAGTGATGGCAGCAACATAATTGTCATACCGTAGTGGGTGATTTAACATAACGAGTGACAATGCAGAACTGAGATCCTCTTGAATTATTATCCATTGCTCTTTTTATGAACATTACGTAAAATGCGTAAGTGCTTTGTCTTTTGTTTTACAGTGTTCCTATTATTGTTTTGTTACACTCTGCTCAACTATATATACATTTGTTGCTGCTAAAGTGTCAGAGTTTCATATACAGTGAAGTATGTTTGCCCTTCCTAATACTCTCTAATCCTTGGATCAGTCAGCCAAGTATAAAGCAGACAGCGAGCAGTAAATGGTGTGACTGCAGAGAGAGAGTGAGAGCAGATGTTGTTTGCCCGCCACAGCCCACCCTTTTGAAACAACACAAATATAAGACTGTCACTAATCTTCTAATGTGATTATTCAGAAAGTTCCAGGCCCTTAGAGGTAAACATTTTATCAGGAAATATTGAACAGCCCTCTACAGTGCTTTTGTTGAATTATTTGAATTCCTTGCTTACACTGCATTGTCATTTGTATCTTATTACAATACAATTGTACTTTAATTTTTTGCATTGTATTGGTATTGTTCTGTGCTTGTCTCCCTTTGTAGTGCGCTTTTTGGCCTTGTATAATAATAATAATAATAATACTTTACATGTCCCCTATATGTGTTGATCTGTTTGTTTGTTTATTGTCTATTTTTTATGTTATTAACAATGTCATATACAGAGGAGGATATAAAAATAAAATCACAATATTCATTGTCATAAATAAATAAATAAAATATAAAAGCTAAAACTATGGTGACCCGGAAAACCAAGGATGTGTTAGGCCTCATTCATACTGGCACTGACTGCTGAATCTGATTTATTTCTGTTTAGAGGACATTGTTAACCCCTATAAATATATGTAAAGGTTTTTCAATGGTCTCACCATATAAGTTTACTTGAAAAAATCTCCTTTCATGTTGTGAGTGCTGCCTGTCTTCTGGCCATCTTTTCCCACAATTTCCTGGATGCCCTGCATGCTTTGCAGTTTCAAGTAAGTGACTTCAAGTAAAGTCGTTTGATTTTATTTTCAATATTTTTATTGAAAAAGTGATATACAAGAACATAGAAACATAGCCCACCTACATGGTGAGTTGAGGCAAATAAGCAGGTTCCAGGGGTGGACTGACCATTTAGAAACTCGGGCACTGCCCAAGGGCCCGGGGTCAGTAGGGGGTCCCATGAGATGCCCCTGGTACCTTTTTCATAGGCTTTTTTGAGTTTGGGCAAGGACACAGGGGCCCCATGATCCCCTATTGCCTGGGGGCCCCATGAGTTGTCAGTCCGCCCCTGGCAGGTTCATAAATATATAGGCACGTAAGAAGTAACGATCAATAAAATTGTAAACAAAAAAATACAACCCCTATGTGGTAGAAAATGGGCGGACTGACAACTCATGGGCCCCCCAGGCAACAGGGGATCATGGGGCCTCTGTGTCCTTGCCCATACTCAAAAAAGCCTATGAAAAAGGTACCAGGGGCATCTCATGGGGCCCCCTACTGACTCCGGGCCCTCGGGCAGTGCCCGAGTTTCCAAATGGTCAGTCCGCCCCTGGTAGCAAATGTTCCATTGGTCAGTAAACATGGGCAGTTTCATATTGCCATTTAACAGAATAAAGAGAACAAGAAAAAAAAATTAAATAACAAAAAACAAAATAAACAATAACATAACAGAAGGAAAAAAGAAAGAAAAGAAGAGGGGGGGGGGAAAGAGGAAAGAAAGAGGAGGAAAAAAGAAAAGAGAGGGTCAGCTGCAGTTCCATTAAGTCATGTGATTTTAAAGTCATATTCAGTGTGAACCCAGGCTTGAAGACTACATATCCCATGGTAACTTACTACCTACAGGCAGTGATTTTTATACTGACTTTACCTTCTGTAACTCTTCCTCCAAATACTTCCCTAGTTCAGAAAGCAGGCTCTGTGAAATGTGTGAGACGGCAGTATCCATTCACAAGCCAATGTAAATACAACAGAATATTACATTCTGACCATAGACAGGCTTTAACTTTAAAGGGATGAGCCTGTCAAGCTCAGCAACAGCTGTCAAGCTGTTCCTCTATGTGGAGCATGCAATACTGGTTTTAATATACTGTAGATCTATGAAGTCATTATTTTCTTCCATCCAACCTTTACCTTGCGTTGCCCCAAAATGTGTTGTATGTTTTTAATGATCTTGGACAAGGGTCAACATAAAGCACCATTTGGGACATGTAAGGACATCGGGTTTTGATCTGGTGCTCCTTTCAGTATTTCTGTTTTTTTCGAGCTACTGTGGGTACCCATCAAGGGAAGCCTTCCAGTGTGGGAGCTGCCTTGCAAGAGTTTTTGAGCTTGTTTGAAGTTTTTCTGACTACACATGGAATTCAAAAAGTTCCTTAATTATTATATTAATAACAGTACTTCTAACTAATGTGTTTATAACTTTTCTACCTGCAGAATCTTTCAATTGGATGCCAATCTGTAGCATTGTTATCTTTTCAACGGTGAAAAAGTTGGTTGTCCATTGTTGGTAAATCCTTTGCTGCTTGTTGTACCCTTGCTTTGGGGGCTCTTGCACTCCACACCCCTTCATTGACTGCATTTGTCTCCTTAGGGCAGCCATGAAAATTAGGGGGGCCCTCACCCACTTTGGCAGGCATCTGCACACATCCTAATTGATCAATGCTTTTTAGAAAATATATCATAGTCTAGGTTTTCCTTTACTACTGTCAAGTTTACTTAGCTGATAGTTGTGAATAAATACAGTCATTCTGTTTCAGGCTGACCTAGTTCCTGACCCTTCTTGTCCTGACCTCACTTGAACTTGGCATGCAATGATCTTGCTGTGATTCTTGACATCAGCTCTGCCTAATGTTTTGGCTTTGGTGCTCAGCATCTGTAACCTATGACAATTACCCCTGTCATTGTCTACTGCTTTGATTATGATAATGTCTATCTGGTTCAACTCCTGTTTGAACCTCAACTGCTTTGCTTCAATGTTGACAGTCTGATTACACATAGACCTGGCCTATCACCTGTCAGCATAACCCTTGTTTTGGAAAGTCCTTTAACCAATACACTAAAATCCAACACAAGTGCCCTATGTAATGGTCACTTAAGCCCTGTACACACAGGCTGAATACTGACCAAAATCAGCAGTTAGAATAGAAACCATCCAACATGACAGAAGCCTATCTCACGACCAGCTTCTGTTGATCGCCCATGCTGGCAAACCAGCAGCCAATTGGCATCCAATCAACGCTTGCAACCAATGGCTGTGAGCATTGACCAGTGTGTTCTGGTGGGGGGTCCCTTGGTAAAGTGTACTGCAGGAGTGGTTCAAAACATGTGAGTTGGCAGACAACCTTTAGAGATATGTCATATAACTTTGCAAGCTTATTTACTCTTTTTAACATACTTTTCTAACTTTTTTCTGCCATGACTATATTACAGATTACCATATTTCTGGTTTTCTTTGCTTAAATCTTAAAATATGTGTTACAGAAGCAATATTGAGTGGAAGGATAAATTCATATTTTATTGGCCATCTGAACAAATGTGTAGTCGAATGTTTGCACTGTGTTTCAGCCTCTAAGTTAATCAAGGTGTAAAACAAACTGAAATGTCTTTTTTATATGTGCATACAAATACCATGTAGATGAAGAAGCTATCAAGTTGGCAATCCCAGGTAAATTATTACAGAAATCTGGATGCAAAATCAATTTTACTCAGCTCATCTTTCTATCCATTACCCCTTGCAGATGATGTGTTCAAGGCCTTTTCTGCTCTGTTTTCACTTCATAATTAGTAGATTAACTTTGAATTGTGCAGCCCGTGGGACAGGGTCTGTGTTTAAAACCCAACTTCAACAGAAACAAATATTTCTAGCTTTGTATGGAAGGGTGGTAGAATTTGGTGAGTCTTTTATTACCTGTGTCACTAAAAGTAAAATTTTACCTTACTAACTTCTTTCTATGGCTTCCTGTCTTGGTGAAATCCATACCCTTTCACATTTATTTTACTGGTTTCTCAGGGACTGGAATGAGAGTAAATCTTCCAAATGAGGATACAGACACGAAAACAAGAAATAGACTGAGCCTAGGTTCACACTGATGCGGTTCGGAATTCGCAGCATTTTCTGTGCAAATTCTGCACCACATCAGAATCACACCCCGTTCATGCAAACCGCTGCGGGTGTGCATGTTAAGTTAACAACACCCTGAAATCGGTCCATAAAACGCGGTGCGATGTGCAGAATCGGATCGCATAGGTGTGAATACCCATGCAATCCGATTCTAGTGCGGACCAAAAAAAAAGGGGTCCTGCACAATTTTGGTGCGGGTGCAGAGCGATTAGAACCATACAAAATGTATAGCTCCAATTGCAGTGCAAACAAATCACATGTGATTTGCGCAGGAATGCGGTGTGAATCACATGCGATTTACTGCACCGCATATATGTGAACCCGGGCTGAAAGGTTTGGCTTTTCCCACTCTAGTGCCCCCCATTGGAAGATTTCCCCTCCATTCCTAATTTGGTGACAACTGAAAATTTGGGATATAAAAAGTGCTCTGAACGACATCTAATTCAGCAAACAATTAAAGACAAAACAGTCTAGCTGAACATAACTACTCTTTACTTTCACTTTCAATAATAATGGTAAACTGGACAAATACAGAGGGTGAATCTCCCTAACAGGAGCACAGACAGGAATAACAAATCGACAGGTGTTCTAATCCCTCTCCACACTTTATTCAGTACTAAGAATGTGAAACCAATATAGAAGATTTCTCAGCGATTATGCATGGAATGGAGAACCTCAGTTCTAATTAAGGGCAAGGCCACTTAAAACTGATTTCTCAGTGTTAAATTGAGTGCATCAGGTTACAACTTGTCTGCCAGGGTCTCAAAAACCTTTAAGGAGAACCAGTTTTAAGAATGATAAACTCCGCTCCTAGGTTATTAACCGCTTCCCTCCACCCTACAGCAGAAATACTGCTACAGGGCAGCAGTGGTATGCAAAATCATGTATATATACATGTGATTTAGCAGTTCTGGGTAGGGGGCATGAGTGATCTGCGTACGTGCCCTACCCGCACCGCCAATTACGGCTTTGGCTGTCAATCACCGGGTCCGGTGATTACTCGCCAGCACCTGGAGATCGCTGAGTATCTCCGACGGGGGAAAGACCTATATGTAAACAATACAGATCTCTCCCTTGTCAGCTCCTGCACACTGCTTTGTATGGCTATGCATAGCAAAGCCATACAAAGCAGTGTGCTTACAGTGAAACACAGACACAGCCCATGTAGTAAAACAGCACACAGTTAACCCTTTGATCGCCTCACATGTTAACCCCTTCCTGCCCTGTGCCATTAGTACAGTGTTAGTGCTTTCTATTAGCACTGATCACTGTATTGGTGTCACTGGGTGACACCAAATTAGTTCCCCCCAGTGTCAGAATGCCCGCTGCAGTCCCACTATAAGTTGCTGGTTACTAGTAAAAAAAAAATCAAGTATATATACCGGCATTTGGAAATGCTATAACTTTCACGTAAACCAATTAATTTACATGCATTGGGATTTTTTTTTAGCAAAGACATGTCACAGAATACATTTTGCCCTAAATTTATGACGAAGTGTGATTTTTAAAATTTTTTTTACTGGATATGTTTTCATAGCAAAAAGTCAAAAACATTGTTTTTTTTCTCAAAATTGTCAGTCTTTTTTTGTTTATAGTGCAAAAAATTAAAAACACACAGGTGATCAAATACCACCAAAAGAAAGCTCTATTTGTGGGAAAAATTTAATTTGGGTGCAGTGTTGCATGACCGCGCAATTGTCGGTTAAAGTAATGTAGCACTGTATCGCAAAAAATGGCCTGGTCAGGAAGTGGTTAAAATAATGCAGCCTTTCTTCTCAAGGTTAGGTATGAGTGCTGTTATTTTTGTTGCATTTTTTCCCAATGAGAGCTAAGGTTTGGGTCAATGTTGTTTTGCATTTGACATCAGATACATTCACTTCTGAGATCAAACAGAATTCAATGAAAATCACAAATGACCTTCATCTTACCTCCACTTAAGCTGTATCAACCTTCTTCATGCTGTTTTTGAATTCCAGTTGACTTGTACAGGGAGAGAAAAAGTTCCGATATAAACAAAAGACCCTGGACACAGACCCTTAAAATGTCAGTCCAATTTCAGGCTATAACGCTGGTCTTTCTCCAGTCTAAGTATAGAGCTGACATACGTCGGCCCTACACTCTGATACTTCTGCTCCAAAAAGAAGAGAATACCAGTAAATAATAAA